ATATATACCTCATATCATATCGCATCTATCAGCCGGGTGCGAGCTTCAGCCTCGAATGTGGCGCCATCGTGGAGATAAAACAGAAATTATTAAAGTTTCTCAACATACCCAAAACAAGAGAACAATCACCACTTGTAAATGTTTGTAAATTTTGGTACACGGATTGTGTGTAAGTCACTGATCTCTATAATAAAATAACTAATTATAATATATAACTATATAGTTAATATATAATACGTATATATTCGGTGTAATGCCCGTTTCGGGCTCTCACTAGGCGTATATATATAGAGAGGTTAATTTTGAGGTTAAAGGGGAGGTCATAACCGCAGCACATACCTACCTGCTACCACTGAGTACCAGTACCATTCATGATTCAATATATGTATATGTATATATGTATATGTATATGTATATGTATATGTATGTATGGTGTTGAACAACAGTAGAGGGCAATCCATAGGCGGCAGGCCTGAATAGCATCGAAGAGAAATTAATTAAAACTTACTCGCGCACTGTTACTGGCTTACACAGAACATACACTTTATTAATGTTAAATAGAACTACAGATATCGTTGCTCTAGCTATCTCCGCTCGAAAAACTTTTTTGCTCAGCTCTATGATGCGAATTTCTACGTAAGTAGTCGGATCCCGTTCATACACAAAAATGGCCGACGGCCGACCGATGGGTACGCACTAGCATGGAATGGACATTACACAACAGACCAATTTTAAGCTGTTTTCCTAATGCGCTTTGATAGACGTCACGACGCGATCTATAACTTGCGTGCAACTGGCATAATGCAAATTATTGCCATTCTAGTGCGAATTCCTGGAAAAAAAATGCTAAAGAAAGGCATTTTCTAGAGACGATATTAGTGCACCACGGGAAACAATTGCGGAGGCCTTACTCGTTGTAGCTACTCCTATAGGGAGAAACCCCCTCCCCTCCACCCCCGCCGCCGCTGTCTGCAACATGTACACGACACATACCGCTGTGCCCCAAACAACAACACTTAGTTTAATGTGACAACATTAGTTCATTAGTCTATAATTTTTGTTTTTGTTGTCAAAGCTATGGCCAGCATGTGTGTTGCAGAGGAGCATATTGATCGGATATGTTACAGAGGAAGTTAATCGGCAATAATAGGTCGAAAAGGTCAGTATAGTAGAGGGAAATTAAGACGCTGGGTAGTGCGTCAGCTAAAAGCTGAAGAGGGTCTATGTCCCCAGGGTACTGGGGTATACGAACCGTTACCCTGGTACACAGAGCATATAAATCTAACGTGATTATATGCTCTGCTGGTACTATCTAATATGCCGGACCGTACCTCGCCTACTCCACTAACGAGTCTAGGGAGTCGCCTATGCCTACTCCCTAACCCTAACCCTAACCCTAACCATATCAGATAGTTACCAGGGAAGTTCCGGTATACCGGACCGTACCCAGGTTACTTTCCGGCAGTAACCTGGGGGACATATAGACCCTATGAGCGGTAGTAAATACATTTCGTGTTTATTTACCATCATTTTATTATTGAAACGTCCCAAGTGCCTATGCCCTTGACCAAGTAAGATCAAGCATAAGATCACTACACCCATATCCTTATCACAATCCTATGCATAGATAGATTATTTATAGAAATGTACAAATTATGAGTTCTGATAATATAAAATATCTCCAAGTTCATCTGGTACTGTTTAAAACAGTGTTCTGTTCATTCATCATTCTACAGAAATTTTACATTTCCACGTGTCCCTCTGTCGCATAATAAGTACCGGTACGTGGTTGTTATATAGTGCCCACCCTTGCGGATACAGCGCTGCAGTTTTATCCACTTCGTACTTGTTATGGGTGTGTGTCACTATCAACATCACTGTTGTTACTGTGTCAGTGACACTATTACTAGTAGTAGTACAGTAGTACAGTAGTACGCTATGGCTGCCAGATAGTGACAGTGATTGCTTGCTTTGCTTGTGATGCTGTGGGGACCCTCACTGTAAATAACTGTAGCTGAAGCTAATGTACCTAATAATTGTTAAGCTAGCTAAGCTGTTTACAGTTTAGCAATACTGACAGTACACTCTACACTTTTCATTAGTAGGATGCTATACGTGTAATGGAGGACTATCACATCCTAGATATGATTGGAGAGGGGTCCTTCGGAAAAGTATACAGGGGTAGAAAATTGTACACAACTCAGGTATGTTGATTCAATCTGCCGTGGGTCATTTCAAGAATGTTAGTTTGTGATGATGTGATTGAAGATTCTATGATGTTGTATGAGAAATATAGCAAAACATCTTATGAGATTTTATATCCGACTATGAGAATTTAATATCTCATCTGGTGACTTCTAGTATTAAACAGTATTCATATGATGTATTTGCTTAAATTTCTACACTAATGTCATATGGATGAAACCATAGTTAGCTCTTGATGAAACCCAGTTATGTAAGTTTCAATGACATACTGAAATCGTTTATTAATAGCCTAATGTATTGTTTTAATAGAACCTGCACTTTATTCTATAATTTTACTCTTATTTATTTTAACGACAGTTTCTCATAGTCAGTATTATCTGTGTTCCACAGATAGTTGCGCTCAAGTTTATCCCAAAAATCGGCCGGTCGACGCGAGATCTCACGAACCTGAGACACGAGATCGACATCATGAAATCGCTTCAACACGAGAACATCGTCAGAACGCTGGACGCCTTTGAGACGGAGACTGAGGAACGTATGAGTAGCGTTACAAGTAGCGTTGCTGTGATTGAAAATCTGTTGTGAGTGCCGCGTGTTTAAGTGGTGGCCCCTGTAGACAAGATGGATAATATTATAGCATGTATTGCAGGTTGTTGCGGTGACAGACTATGCTGAAGGAGAATTGTTTAGGGTACTGGAAGATGACAGCTCTATTCCAGAGAGTCAGGTTAGTGGTGAGAGTGTGGCTATGATGTTTCCTAGATGTTTCGATCTCCATATTGGTTCGTATGAATCGATAGATGGTGTGTTTGATCAGATCTCACTCCGTGAATTGCTAAGCTTACTTGGTCGAGTAATAAAAGCTGTGATTGGCTACTTTTTGTGAAGACTGTAATATAATAATAATCTTATATAGTTGTTTTCAGTAAAACTATAATTACGGGCAATAATATACTCATATTAGTAGTATTAATATTACTATAATATCAGTGCAATAATATAATAAATATACTAATATAATACAAATACTCCGTGAACCATAACCACTGGAAATGTTTTTGGAGGGTGATCATTCGTTGGCATGACGACCTGAATCACGTGACTTCTCTGCTTTGCTCCTAAGGTGCAGATCATTGCCTGCCAGCTGGTGGCAGCACTGTACTACCTCCATGCTCACAGCATTCTGCACAGAGACATGAAACCCCAGAACGTCCTGCTGTCAACGGACGGAGTTGTCAAGCTATGTGACTTTGGGTAGCCTACTTTCAACCAGATATATATAATATATATATACACACGAAAGTTAAGCAGCAATCATTCTAAAACATAATGTAACATATATGTAATATATACTAGCATTTCCTTCTGAAGGTTGAGCATGCAAAGGGCTTGTTGTGTAGCGTTGAGTAGCTGGCATTACGGACAGAAAGATCCGTTTTTTTAATTTTAGTCGTTATTTTTTAATCACACGTAACGAGAGGTTTGCCATTTCAGATTTGCTAGAACTATGAGCCCCAACACCTTTGTCTTGACCTCTGTCAAGGGCACTCCTTTATACATGGCTCCAGAACTCGTGGAGGAGAGACCGTACGATCACAATGCTGACCTCTGGTGAGAGATGCTCTATCTATAAGTGTACATCAGGGGTAAATAATCGCAGATATCTTCATTCACGTATGTACACGTGTTATTATGTAAGGGAGGGAGATCCTTAGCTACCCGATGGATAAAATCAGGAGTGAATAAAAACAGAGGAGTGTGAAGAGACTACATTATTCACTAGCCCTAACCTATACCTAGGATTATTACGCTTGAACAATGCTAATTTAACAAACCTGAGCTCAGAATCTACCTCAAACATTGCCCTAGGATTGTATGTGATCGGTCAATTTGTCCATTATAGCTATCCGTGATCTAGATCACATAGTTATTGAACAACACATGGTAGAAGTTTTGACGGGAGTCAGTCACATATACACGATTTCAGACACTAACACATTGTGTTAGTAACTACTAAGACAATGTAGTAACTATTGTAATAAACTATTGTAATTAACTATTGTAATTAACTATTGTAATTATAACTACTGTAATTAACTATTGTAATTAACTATTGTAATTATAACTACTGTAATTAACTATTGTAATTATAACTACTGTAATTAACTATTGTAATTATAACTACTGTAATTAACTATTGTAATTAACTATTGTAATTATAACTACTGTAATTAACTATTGTAATTAACTATTATAATTATAACTACTGTAATTAACTATTGTAATTATAACTATTGTAATTATAACTACTGTAATTAACTACTGTAATTAACTATTATAATTATAACTACTGTAATTAACTATTGTAATTATAACTATTGTAATTATAACTACTGTAATTAACTATGGTAATTAACTATTGTAATTATAACTACTGTAATTAACTACTGTAATTAACTACTGTAATTAACTCGCAGGGCACTGGGATGCATACTGTATGAGATGGTTGTGGGCACGCCACCATTCTACACTAACAGCATCTACAAGCTCGTGTCCATGATTACTGGCGACAACGTCTCGTGGCCGCCCGCCCTCAGCCCCACGTTCACAGACTTCCTGCAGGGACTGCTGCAGAAGGATGCAACGCAGCGGCTGACGTGGCCCGCCCTGCTCCAGCATCCGTTCATCTCACACGCAATAAACGGTACTCTCGCATTCCTCCATCCTGTCACTCTGCATTCAGCTGGTGTTTGTATAATACAGCAGTCCCTGCATTCAACTGGTGTTTGTATAATACAGCAGTCCCTGCTTTATCGGGAGTTGTCAGGAATCGTGAAAGTGTGCCGATTATGTGGTGAACACATAATAATGTGTATAGTGATTGTTATTCAAGTGGGGTATCCCTTGAGCGATGTACCCGTTTATCTGAGGTCAAATAAAGCTGGGACCACGGTAAACGTAGTAGATATTGATTTCATCAGAATTACGTCGTAAACAGACTGTTTATCACGTAGTCCTGTTTTTATGTTCCTCTTTATACTTGTGTGTTTATCAGGGTTGTTATGTTAGGATAATTTAGGATAATCATGATTACAGCTGCATACAGTGTATGTGACTACATCATGTGTTCTATTTCACACGGTTTCATTTAGCAACGAAAAAAGGAGATGCATGCATAGGAGGGGAAATGGCTTCTCGTGTTTTTTTCCAACCATTTTCATATGTTCTCGAACGTTCTGATACTTACCGGTACTCCTTGCATAACAGCAAATCTATATACTAGTAAGGCCAACATGTCATAGAACACTCACACAATATTCTTTTCATCAATACGTGCCGATCTCACATTAGATATGATTGTTTTCATATGCAATTTCACACGAATAGGCGATGCATGCTTTACTAGAGAAGGGGAGTGTTCAGCAAGATCCAATAACTAGTCTTGTCTGTGTATTTTGTTGGTTAGTGTCGGATAGCTGTCGCGATGCAGCGCTGGCTAGTCCCTTCACGAACCCGCTCACCACATCGCAGGCGCTGGCCAGGGCCAAGCAGATCAAGGAGAGGCAGCCGCCCTCAGGACCACCGAGAATAATCGCGCACGTAGCAGCTGCAGGCGACGGCGTGACCTTGGTGAGGGCGTAGATGTGTAGTCGCTTAATAGCATGATTATCCGAACTGTGTCCCTTATACTAGGATCCTTATTTATTTTTATTACCTCCGCCCACGGAGTTAACGGAGTAACGGAGTGGAGGGGAGGTAATGTAATCGGTCTCGTGTGTGTGTGTCTGTGTGTGTGTGTGTGTGTCCGGTCGCGCGGCACGATCGATAGCGCGTCGAGTCAGCGAGCGGCG